TACAAATATGCCAATTAGGCTTATTATATAGTACAATAATTACATATTACATCAATTGCATTACTTAAAAATAAAAACTGGTGTCATAAATGAATCCCTCGTCATGAAATACCCTGGAAAAGTCATATTATTCATGTTTTCAGGCTTTTTTTTTATTAAGATTAACAACATTATAACATATTGCACATAATTAGATTATTAGGCTAATTAGGGTAATTATACTATATCTACATGAAATATCTTCTCATGAATAAATGTGTCGTCTTTCAAAAGTGATTTACAATGTTGCATTGCACCATTTTCAGGGTTTATAGATAAACAATGACAATGAAGTCCATATTTTGAACATATCCTAATTAGCTCATTATGCTAATTATGCTTTTTAAGACAATTGCATTACTTAAAAATAAAAACTGGTGTCATAAATGAATTCCTCGTCATAGAAAACCCTTGAAAAGTCGTATTATCCATGTTTTCAGGCTTCCTGGATTGAGATTAGCAACATTATTACATATTGCACATATGATAATTAGATGATTATGCTAATTAGGCTATTAAAAAAAGTTGCTCAAGGTTGCCAAGCTGGCAACCAAGCTGAATTTACTTCAATACCCATCTAGAACACGAATTAACAAAAAAACCTTGTACTTATCAACTTTTCCAGGTCATGTACATGGTCTATGGTACCGTCTACTGGACTATCTCCAAACTCAGTCATTATGGAATTCGGGGTCAGCCACTCTCATGGTTTAAAGATTATTTAACAAACAGAAGACAATATGTTACATTTAATAGTTATGATTCTGATCCTCTTTTAATTAAATGCGGTGTTCCTCAAGGCTCCATCTTAGGTCCACTGTTATTTCTTCTTCATGTAAATGATATTATCAATACATCCCCCCTTCTTTCTTTTATCTTATTTGCCGATGATACAAATATCTTTTATTCCCATAAAGACCTTAATTCGTTAAACAATACTTTGAATTATGAAATTAACAAAGTATCAGATTGGTTTAAATCCAATAAACTTTCACTTAATACAAAAAAGACTCATTTCATGTATTTTAAACATCATTCTCATAATACAGAAACACCTATATATATTAAAATCGATGGTATGCTACTAGAGAAGAAAACTAATTCCAAGTTTTGGGGTGTTCTTATAGATGAAGCCTTGACTTGGAATGATCATTTACACCAAGTTACAATGTGCATTTCCAAAAGTATTGGAATAATCTCCAAGTTAAAGTTTCTTCTACCCCATGCAACCTTATTCCTACTATATAATTCGCTAGTTCTCCCGTATATAACATATTGTAATAGTGTATGGGCAAATTGTGGTTCGACAAAAATTAATTCTATTTTCAAACTGCAAAAGAAAGCCATACGTATTTGTACAGGTTCGCATTTCTTGGCTCACACTGATCCTTTATTCTATAAACTTAAAACACTAAAAAATTTCGATCTGAACACTACTCAAGTAGCAGTTATTATGTTTAAGTACATTAATAATCTGCTTCCACCATCCTTTGATAACATGTTTAGGTTTAATTATTCCGTTCATTCATACTCTACTCGCATATCTGGAAACTTCCATCTTACAAACCCCAAATTATCAATAACACACAAATCTGTTAGACATTCTGGCCCGGACATTTGGAATGGTTTACCCGACAACATAAAGTCTTGTTCAACCATCTACTCCTTAAAAGCTACACTTAAACGACAAATAATACAATCATATGCTCCCCTCTCTTTAAATTAGTATAGCAAAACCGTGACTTATTTATTCTTTATCATGCAACTGCTCACTGCACCTGCACATGCACCGCACCCTCTTGGTCACTCAGTTTTTCGAAGAGAGTTTGTCGCCAATTCTTTTTACGAGGCCGCCATCCATCTCCAGCCTAACCGCTCACGATGGTGGTCTCCTGCGTTCCAAATTACCTCTCTAATTTATTGAAAATATTTCATATTTCTTATGTAATTGCATGCTTCGTACATGTTTATCGAATGATATAATTGTACATGATTTTTCGTTTAATTACTTTTGTAAACATTGTATTCATTGTATTTGTTATTGTTCGAAATTTTGTACTTTGACTTTGAATTTGTATATTTTTGAACGCAGAAATAAAATCAATCAAACAAACAAACAAACTATGTAATTAATAGAATTGATGTGAAATGTAAGAATACAGTGATAAATTAGTAAATAAAACATATGCATGTAAAGATTTGCTGCTTAAATACATTCACAAATAATGCAGGTCCAGACTCTCAAGCTTGATTATGTTGAGTGTCCCACACAAGCCTCATCACAGCACCTAGCAGAATCACTGTGCTCTATGCCAAACCTGACTAACCTGACGCTTAGATGGAAAATCAATGACGAGCTCTGCTTTGCTTTGAAAGCAAAGGCATCATCCATACAGGTATGTGTATCCTAATGTAAATATCATGGAGGGCCATTGTTAGAAAAAAAACAGCGGTCATAGTTATATGGTACTCATGTATATGTTTTTTTTCTTCTTCAAACCCCCTTTGTTTAAGGCCATTCACTTGATATATTAGAACAGTCATGAAACATGAAATAAAAGCAAACTACACATGTACTGAATCAGTTGGAAGTCAAGTGTGTATACGATAGACATTGTTTTGATCAATAATCAATATCCAACCTATTCCAAGTTTGATTGATAGTAAAAAATGAGTCATATTTTTTTAAGAACGACTTTTGATAAAGGCTTCAATTTACCGAACTGAACCAAATTTAGCAACAAACCTCCTGAATTAGGAGTCTGGTGCACATGAAATTCAGAGTTATGAATACTTTTAATACATTAATAGCAAATGTATAATTATGGTAATATTAATTTCTGTGTTAGTAGAAGTAGGATTTATCAATGCAAACATGTTAGACGACCTATAAAGAATACATATAGAAGTTTTAAAAATCACTCTTACTAAATAATCCTCTCCATAGAAACTGAAGTGTGTAATTTTCCTCAATAGACAAGAATTGGATTTGAAAATTTAATTTATTTGTTCATTTTTGTTGAGAATGTCATGATGAATGCAATTATGTAATTTATATATTTGATGTGAAATGTAAGAATCAGTGATAAATTAGTAAATAAAATATATCTAATGCATGTAAAGATTTGCTGCTTAAATACATTCACAAACAATGCAGGTCCAGACTCTCAACCTTTATGATGTTGAGTGTCCCACACCAGCCTCATCACATCACCTAGTAGAATCACTGTGTTCTATGCCAAACCTGACTAACCTGACACTTGTAAGGAAAATCAATGACGAGCTCTGCTCTGCTTTGAAAGCAAAGGCATCATCCATAAAGGTATGTGTATCCTAATGTTAATATCATGGAAGGTCATTGAATGAAAGAAACAGCAGTAATAGTTTACTGGTGCACATGCATATATGTTTTTTCTTCTTCCAAACACCCACTTGTAAAGGCCATTCATTCCTTAAAAAAAAGCCATTTGTTTTATTAGAACAGTCATGAAACATGGAATAAAAGCAAACTACACATGTACTGAATCAGTTGGAAGTCAAGTGTGTATACGATTGACATTGTTTTGATCAATAATCAATATCCAACCTATTCCAAGTTTGATTGATAGTAAAAAATAAGTCATATTTTTTTAAGAACCACTTTTGATAAAGGCTTCAATTTACCGAACTGACCCAAATTTAGCAACAAACCTCCTGACCTAGGAGTCTTGTGCACATGAAATTCAGAGTTATGAAAATTTTAATATATTAATCGCAAATGTATATTTATGGGTATTATTAATTTCAGTGTTAGTAGAAGTAGGATTTATCAATGCAAACATGTTGGACGCCCTATAAAGAATACATATAGAAGTTTTAAAAATCGCTCTTACTAAATAAACCTCTCCATAGAAACTTAAGTGTGTAATTTTCCTCAATAGACAAGAATTGGATTTGAAAATTTAATTTATTTATTCATTTTTGTTGAGAATTTCATGATGAATGCAACTATGTAATTAATAGAATTGATGTGAAATGTAAGAATACAGTGATAAATTAGTAAATAAAACATATGCATGTAAAGATGTGCTGCTTAAATACATTCACAAATAATGCAGGTCCAGACTCTCAAGCTTGATTATGTTGAGTGTCCTACACAAGCCTCATCACAGCACCTAGTAGAAGCACTGTGTTCATTGCCAAACCTGACTAACCTGACGCTTAAATGGAAAATCAATGACGAGCTCTGCTTTGCTTTGAAAGCAAAGGCATCATCCATACAGGTATGTGTATCCTAATGTAAATATCATGGAGGGCCATTGTTAGAAAAAAAACAGCGGTCATAGTTATATGGTACTCATGTATATGTTTTTTTTCTTCTTCAAACCCCCTTTGTTTAAGGCCATTCACTTGATATATTAGAACAGTCATGAAACATGAAATAAAAGCAAACTACACATGTACTGAATCAGTTGGAAGTCAAGTGTGTATACGATAGACATTGTTTTGATCAATAATCAATATCCAACCTATTCCAAGTTTGATTGATAGTAAAAAATGAGTCATATTTTTTTAAGAACGACTTTTGATAAAGGCTTCAATTTACCGAACTGAACCAAATTTAGCAACAAACCTCCTGAATTAGGAGTCTGGTGCACATGAAATTCAGAGTTATGAATACTTTTAATACATTAATAGCAAATGTATAATTATGGTAATATTAATTTCTGTGTTAGTAGAAGTAGGATTTATCAATGCAAACATGTTAGACGACCTATAAAGAATACATATAGAAGTTTTAAAAATCACTCTTACTAAATAATCCTCTCCATAGAAACTGAAGTGTGTAATTTTCCTCAATAGACAAGAATTGGATTTGAAAATTTAATTTATTTGTTCATTTTTGTTGAGAATGTCATGATGAATGCAATTATGTAATTTATATATTTGATGTGAAATGTAAGAATCAGTGATAAATTAGTAAATAAAATATATCTAATGCATGTAAAGATTTGCTGCTTAAATACATTCACAAACAATGCAGGTCCAGACTCTCAACCTTTATGATGTTGAGTGTCCCACACCAGCCTCATCACATCACCTAGTAGAATCACTGTGTTCTATGCCAAACCTGACTAACCTGACACTTGTAAGGAAAATCAATGACGAGCTCTGCTCTGCTTTGAAAGCAAAGGCATCATCCATAAAGGTATGTGTATCCTAATGTTAATATCATGGAAGGTCATTGAATGAAAGAAACAGCAGTAATAGTTTACTGGTGCACATGCATATATGTTTTTTCTTCTTCCAAACACCCACTTGTAAAGGCCATTCATTCCTTAAAAAAAAGCCATTTGTTTTATTAGAACAGTCATGAAACATGGAATAAAAGCAAACTACACATGTACTGAATCAGTTGGAAGTCAAGTGTGTATACGATTGACATTGTTTTGATCAATAATCAATATCCAACCTATTCCAAGTTTGATTGATAGTAAAAAATAAGTCATATTTTTTTAAGAACCACTTTTGATAAAGGCTTCAATTTACCGAACTGACCCAAATTTAGCAACAAACCTCCTGACCTAGGAGTCTTGTGCACATGAAATTCAGAGTTATGAAAATTTTAATATATTAATCGCAAATGTATATTTATGGGTATTATTAATTTCAGTGTTAGTAGAAGTAGGATTTATCAATGCAAACATGTTGGACGCCCTATAAAGAATACATATAGAAGTTTTAAAAATCGCTCTTACTAAATAAACCTCTCCATAGAAACTTAAGTGTGTAATTTTCCTCAATAGACAAGAATTGGATTTGAAAATTTAATTTATTTATTCATTTTTGTTGAGAATTTCATGATGAATGCAACTATGTAATTAATAGAATTGATGTGAAATGTAAGAATACAGTGATAAATTAGTAAATAAAACATATGCATGTAAAGATGTGCTGCTTAAATACATTCACAAATAATGCAGGTCCAGACTCTCAAGCTTGATTATGTTGAGTGTCCCACACAAGCCTCATCACAGCACCTAGTAGAAGCACTGTGTTCATTGCCAAACCTGACTAACCTGACGCTTAAATGGAAAATCAATGACGAGCTCTGCTTTGCTTTGAAAGCAAAGGCATCATCCATACAGGTATGTGTATCCTAATGTAAATATCATGGAGGGCCATTGTTAGAAAAAAAACAGCGGTCATAGTTATGGTACTCATGTATACGTTTTTTTTCTTCTTCAAACCCCCTTTGTTTAAGGCCATTCACTTGATATATTAGAACAGTCATGAAACATGAAATAAAAGCAAACTACACATGTACTGAATCAGTTGGAAGTCAAGTGTGTATACGATAGACATTGTTTTGATCAATAATCAATATCCAACCTATTCCAAGTTTGATTGATAGTAAAAAATGAGTCATATTTTTTTAAGAATGACTTTTGATAAAGGCTTCAATTTACCGAACTGACCCAAATTTAGCAACAAACCTCCTGACTTAGGAGTCTTGTGCACATGAAATTCAGAGTTATGAATACTTTTAATACATTAATAGCAAATGTATATTTATGGGTATTATTAATTTCAGTGTTAGTAGAAGTAGGATTTATCAATGCAAACATGTTGGACGCCCTATAAAGAATACATATAGAAGTTTTAAAAATCGCTCTTACTAAATAAACCTCTCCATAGAAACTTAAGTGTGTAATTTTCCTCAATAGACAAGAATTGGATTTGAAAATTTAATTTATTTATTCATTTTTGTTGAGAATTTCATGATGAATGCAACTATGTAATTAATAGAATTGATGTGAAATGTAAGAATACAGTGATAAATTAGTAAATAAAACATATGCATGTAAAGATGTGCTGCTTAAATACATTCACAAATAATGCAGGTCCAGACTCTCAAGCTTGATTATGTTAAGTGTCCCACACAAGCCTCATCACAGCACCTAGTAGAAGCACTGTGTTCATTGCCAAACCTGACTAACCTGACGCTTAAATGGAAAATCAATGACGAGCTCTGCTTTGCTTTGAAAGCAAAGGCATCATCCATACAGGTATGTGTATCCTAATGTAAATATCATGGAGGGCCATTGTTAGAAAAAAAACAGCGGTCATAGTTATATGGTACTCATGTATATGTTTTTTTTCTTCTTCAAACCCCCTTTGTTTAAGGCCATTCACTTGATATATTAGAACAGTCATGAAACATGAAATAAAAGCAAACTACACATGTACTGAATCAGTTGGAAGTCAAGTGTGTATACGATAGACATTGTTTTGATCAATAATCAATATCCAACCTATTCCAAATTTGATTGATAGTAAAAAAAATGAGTCATATTTTTTTAAGAACGACTTTTGATAAAGGCTTCGATTTACCGAACTGAACCAAATTTAGCAACAAACCTCCTGAATTAGGAGTCTGGTGCACATGAAATTCAGAGTTATGAATACTTTTAATACATTAATAGCAAATGTATATTTATGGGTAATATTAATTTCTGTGTTAGTAGAAGTAGGATTTATCAATGCAAACATGTTAGACGACCTATAAAGAATACATATAGAAGTTTTAAAAATCACTCTTACTAAATAATCCTCTCCATAGAAACTGAAGTGTGTAATTTTCCTCAATAGACAAGAATTGGATTTGAAAATTTAATTTATTTGTTCATTTTTGTTGAGAATGTCATGATGAATGCAATTATGTAATTTATATATTTGATGTGAAATGTAAGAATCAGTGATAAATTAGTAAATAAAATATATCTAATGCATGTAAAGATTTGCTGCTTAAATACATTCACAAACAATGCAGGTCCAGACTCTCAACCTTTATGATGTTGAGTGTCCCACACCAGCCTCATCACATCACCTAGTAGAATCACTGTGTTCTATGCCAAACCTGACTAACCTGACACTTGTAAGGAAAATCAATGACGAGCTCTGCTCTGCTTTGAAAGCAAAGGCATCATCCATAAAGGTATGTGTATCCTAATGTTAATATCATGGAAGGTCATTGAATGAAAGAAACAGCAGTAATAGTTTACTGGTGCACATGCATATATGTTTTTTCTTCTTCCAAACACCCACTTGTAAAGGCCATTCATTCCTTAAAAAAAAGCCATTTGTTTTATTAGAACAGTCATGAAACATGGAATAAAAGCAAACTACACATGTACTGAATCAGTTGGAAGTCAAGTGTGTATACGATTGACATTGTTTTGATCAATAATCAATATCCAACCTATTCCAAGTTTGATTGATAGTAAAAAAAAAATGAGTCATATTTTTTTAAGAACCACTTTTGATAAAGGCTTCAATTTACCGAACTGAACCAAATTTAGCAACAAACCTCCTGACTTAGGAGTCTGGTGCACATGAAATACAGAGTTATGAATGTATTTAATTTATTGATAGCAAATGTATTTTTATGGGTAATATCAATTTCAGTGTTAGTAGGACTTATTAATGCAAACATGTAAGAATCTCTTTAAAGAATACATATAGATTTTTTTTTCAATCACTCTCACTAATCAGCCTCTCCGTGTAAACTTTAATGTTCTTTTGTTCGATAGACATAAAATAAATTGGAAAATTAAAAATCAATTCATTAATTTTTTTAATTAATGGAATTTGTATGAAAAGTAAGGATACAGTGAGAAATCAGTAAATCAAATGTATGCATGTATAGATGAGTAACTTAACTATATACACCATGAATGCAGGTCAAGACTCTCAATCTTCACTTCATCGAGTCTCCTTCACTAGCCACATCACATCACCTAGTAGAAGCACTGTGTTCTATGCCAAACCTGACTGACCTGACACTGATGGATCTCAATCAGGAGTTCTACTCTATATTGAAAGAAAAGGCATCAAGCATACAGGTATGTGTGTCCTCATGTAAATGTCATGGAGAGTCATTGATCGACAGAATCGGCAGTTATAGTTATATGGTGCACATGGGTATACCGGGGATATGTTTTATTTTCTTCCAAACACCCACCCCACTTGGTATATTGCAACAATCATTAAACATGAAATGAAAGCAAACTACACATGTACTGATTCAGTTGAAAGTCAAGTTTGTATAAGATTGACATTGTTTTTTTTATCATTAAACAATATCCAACCGTGGCCAAGTTTGCTTAATAGGAAAAAAATACATATTGTATTTTAAGAGCCAATTTTAATGAAGGCTTAAATTTATCAAACTGAAAACCTCCTGACTTACGGATCTTTTGCACATAAAATGTAAAGTTATGAATACATTTAAAACTTTAATAGCAAAGGAAGATTTATGGGTATTATTAATTTCAGTGTTATTAGGAGTAGAACGTATCAATGCAAAAATGTAAGAAGCCCTTTTAAGAATACATACAGATTTTTTTTTATTCACTCTTACTAATCAGCCTCTCCATAGAAACTTTAATGGTCTTTTTTCATGAGAAATCAAATTAATTTGAAAACTAAATAAATTCATTCATTTGTGTTGAGAATGTCATTATGAATGCAACTATGTAATCGATGGAATTTGTCTGAAATGTAAGGATACAGTGAGAGAGAGGTAAGTAAATAAAATGTTTGTTTGTATAGATGAGTTACCTAACTATAATACAACATGAATGCAGGTCAAGACTGTCAAGCTTGGTTTCCCCCTGCGTCCTTCACCAGCCCCATTACATCACCTGGCAGAAGCATTGTGTTCAATGCCAAACCTGACTGACCTGACACTCTTGGGAGGGAATCTCACTGAGGAGTTCTACTCTTCATTGAGAGCAAAGGCATCATCCATACAGGTATGTGTGTACTAATGTCATAGAGAGGGTCATTAAAAGAAAGAAAGAGCAGTGATTATATGGTGCACATATATATATATTTTTTTTTTTTAATTCTTCAAATTTTATTGTTTTCTTCAACAAAGTTACTAAAGTCACGAAAGCTGTGCAAATCTCCACTTGGCAATTTGGTCAATTGATTGTGACAAAGTTACAGACAACTCTCCTGTTTGACATGTAAAAAAATATAAAATGACTGTTTTACTCCTAAGCACGTTTTCTGTTGGGGAACTACTCAAAATAATTGTGGATAGCGTATTGTTAAAGCCTCTCTAAAAAGAAACTCCGAAGGCATAGAATTTGATATGTAATTTGTCATTAAAAATGTATTTAACTGTGACAAGAACAAAAATACAAATTTACTACCTGAAAATGAGGTGGCAGTGCCTGAATATGGTGAATTAAATCTTCCAGGGGTGGTGTGGGGGATGGGGAGGAGGAAGTGGTTTCAGAGCCCCCCACCCCCACCATGCCGCCTCCCACAGAGAGCATGCAGAAATGATGAGACTTTCATTTAGTTATGATGTTGTCCTTACATGTATGATGTATACAATTCAAGCAGAAAAAAGGAACTAGCCTTTTTTTTCTAAACTCAAGTGAGCTATTGCTGTGATTATTGTTTTTGACGGTCCATATACTTTTTACATTTATAACTTGTTCTCGGAAAACATGTGGCAATATATATAAACAATACTTGGTAGGAATCACCTGCAGGAAATGGAAATCTAAAGTTGTTCAAATGGGGTATATGCCCTTACCCCAAAGTGCCCATATGGCAATAGTTTTACATTTGATACTGTTTGTAAAGAGGATGGGAGCTAGGTTCCTTATTGCGAGGCCCCTACTTTCATCGGCTCAGGTGTGCGTAAGTTCCGTGGACCTCTTGTTTTTAACTTGATATTTATGGCAGGATGTATACCATTGTGGGCTGCTACTTAAGAAAATTATAGTAGGGATATACTAATGTCTTGGCATGGTATTTTCATCCTTGTTTTCACCTTCTGTAGCTTGCCCCTTTCTGTTAGTTCTCCCTTCATTTCGAAGGATGCTCCTGGGAGTAGTTGCCCTGGGGGTAGTTGTCCTGGGAGAAGTTACCATGGGGTATTCATGGTCCAGGGGATAACTGTCCAGGGAGTAGTTACCCTGGGAGGTGATTCTCCAGGGGTTAGTTGTCCTAGGGTAGTTGTACTGGGAGTAGTTGCCATGGCAGGTGATTGTCCATGGGGTAATTGTACTGGGAGTAATTTTCCTGGGGTAATTTTCCATGGGGATAAATGTCCTGGGGGTTCGATCAGTCCAGGACTTAATTGTCCTGATGCTGATTGTCCTTGAGGTACTGTGTATAAGCAGTAATTTTCGCGGGGATTTAATATTGTGAATTTCACAAACACTCATTATTTGCAAATTTAACAATGCGTGCAAAATATTTCCAGCAAGAAATGTGGCCTATCAAAATCACTAAAATAAGCCCAGAAGCATGTCATACATCTTGTCTATGCACTTTAGCATGAGCCGTCACCCCAGGGAGGCAGAGCATCTTCCAAAAAAAAAGGCCCCCAAGAAGGGAAATCTGAAAGCGAAAATATTCCATTTTCAGACGATGGTATATGCCCCTATATTGTGATTACATTATCAGGGATGATTTCAATATTTACTTCTTTCTTTCCATGGTACAAGATACTGCTTAAAATCATACTTTGTAGTTGGGTGTGATGGTCTGAATATTCATTTGAAAAATGTGAGGTCGCAGTGCGAACAAATTACATTTTATAAAGGGGAAAATACATGCGATTATGTAATAAGAACAATCTTATCATGAAAGACAAAAAAAAGAACTTTGATAAGAAACATAAATACATCAACTATAAATGCGAGCGAGGGAGAAAATTAAAGAATAAATTGCCCTTAGTTGCTTTAAATTAAGGGCACATTTAATGGTGAAAGTCAAAGGGAAGACTTCTTAAAAGGGATTCAGAGACATATTAGAAAAGTAAAGGAGCATGTGTCGAAGTAAATTGGTAATTATCAGAGGTGAAAATGTGGCACTTCTCACACCTGCAAAGGGGCACTTATTTATCTAGGAAAAGTGGCATTAGTCGAAAGTAAAGGGACACCTTTCAGATTTTACTAAGGGCAATTATGAGAGGTGAAGGGGTTCACTTATTAGACGTAAAAAGGGCACTTTTGCTACCTGAAAAGAGGCACTTATGAGAATGGACACTTATTTGCAAAGGAAAAAGGAAATTTGTTGAAGGAAAATGGGCACATGGCAAAATAAAAGGGGCATTTATCAGGGGTGAAAAGGGGCACTTATTAAAAGGGGAAGTGGCACCTCTTACAAAGGAAAAGGGGCATTTTGGGGTACTCCCCCTTCCCCTGGAGTGCCGTCTCTGCGTCACCCAGTCATGAGACTACATATATATTGTAATGGGGCACTTCAATAAAATACTTTCATTCATTTCTCCCGAAATATTTCATGAAGGATGATATGATGATTGTGATTTATCTACTGCACAAAATTGTTCTTACTCTATCTTTTTTTCTTCTTATTACTTTCATTCTTATTAAGGGATCTAACTGTAGCTCTAGAGTGCATATTCCCTAGAAAATAGATTATATACCAGAATGAAAAAGAATCACGTACTTGAAACTGATACAAGGTTTACTAGCAATGTTGCTGTTATTTGTTACAGGATTGTTTTCCTCAGATCAGGAAGGGAAACTTCAGGTTCAATGGAGTTGCTCAAGATGACTTGAACTCATTTCTTCACACCCTCCCATATTTGGAATGGTCAGTAAAGTAAATGTGATTAAAAAAAATAAAACTCAGATAACACCATATAGACTTTTCACGAGTGGTGCTATATATAGAAACAATATAAAAAGCCTTTAGTGTAATACCAAAAGATACAATGCTGACATATACCCCACCAATGAAATATTTCTTGTATGTAAGAAATAAATAATCATTAACAGCTCAAGATGACTTAAACTCATTTTATCACACCCTCACTTGTTCGCAAAAGTCAGTACAGTATATATGATTTATACCCCAAAAAACAGATAACAGCATGCAGATTTGTCATGAATAGTGCAATACAGAAACGATATAAAGAGACTCTAACGGAATATTAAGAAAAGATACAATGCTGATACCCAGCAGAGAGCATGCAATAAAGTGATACTGTGTATTCTGAAATAATTTAAGACTTCTTGTCTGACAAAAGTAAATATTCAGTGACCGCTTTATTGAACAAATTCCCTACTGTATAGTGCTTTCAACCTTACATGTGTACATTATTTTGTGTTCCTGGTTATTTGTGGGTGTGTTATAGATATATGTGTTAAACTGAAGTCTCCGCTATATTTTTTTCTTCTTCTTCATTCACTGAGCAAAATGTTTCTTGAGACAGATACTTTTCAATCATACCAAGAGTAGTTGAATTTATATTTCTCATCTTTCATTTAGATAATGAGAAGAAAAATCTATTTCCTTTACAGGTTCAATGACGTGAACTGCTCAAGTGACTCGGCCAACTTAGGCAACTCTAATGGCTCTGACAACTAAGCCAACTTGGGTAACTCAAGTGACTCGGATGGCTCGGCCAACTCAATTTGTACTTGCCTTATGCAGAAAATGTTCTGTAGAAAATGTTTTTGAAAATATTCTAAACAGGAGGTCATGTTTTACTAGACTATGATCATGCATTATGCTTGTGTAGAGAAGGTGACAACACGGGGACTAGTTTGATAATAACTGTGGCTTCTGATATACATGTAGTACACACGCATATCAAGCCATGACACTCCTAGCGCTCATACAGTATTACCCTGAGGGGTATTTCATATAGCTGTTAGTAAAGTTGCGCATGAAAATACGAATGACTTGTATATGAAGTGCCAGATAGGATGCCCAAAGTTTTTCCTGATATTTCCAACAACCTCAATTAAATTATGGCAAAAATATACTTTGCATTAAAAATGTTTGTTATAATAAGAATGTTAATCTACATCTGCACAGTTCAACTTTAGTTGATATAGTTAATATTGATTGAGCATCCCATTTGGCTTTTTATATACAAGTCGGTCGTTAAGTCATGCGTAACTTTACGAACAGCTTTATGAAACGCCCCCTGGTCCTAGAGTCCTAGGGAGCGGCCAAATATGTTGCACTTTGGCATATCGTTCCCTATTTATACCTGGGTGGAGAGTGGCAATTGTGGTTTAGTGCCTTGTCAAGGATGTAATGCATTACATAGAGAGTTTATGTAGTGTATGTCATAAGTTTTAGGTGATTTGCATGCAATGTATGAAATACCAACATGAGTTATGAGTTTGAGTATGTAATATTTCTAATTATCTCATCGAAATGTAACTGCATTTGTCAGTGTCATTGCACATGTTAAATAAAAATATAGTTAAGTAGAATCTGAATTAACTTGTGAATATTTTACCAGAAATAACCCAGATGTTAAGAGCTATTTTGCTCTATAACTTGTCAACGAACTTGATATAGCTCAGTATACTTGAGTACTAGCTTTGCCTGGTAAGGGTGTATGTCATAGGCTTAAGTTATCAGTGTAACATTTTATCTGACATGGATTTTTTTTTTTTTAATTTAGAGCTACATCCAGTTCTAGATTTTGAGGAAATAGTTTCCAGGATAATTTTTACATCACTCCAGTGTACATGTATATGTAAATATGCTGCTACAATATTTAAGATACATGTCTCTTTTTGTCAATGTAACATGCCTAAGTTATCAGTGTAATATTTAATTTGACGAGGATTATTGTTTGTATATGTTTAATTACATTCATCAATACTATATAATAAATCCATTTGAGGAAATATTTTCCAGAATTTTCTTTACATCATTCCAGTGTACGTGTAAATATGCTACTATGATTGTATGATACATGTTTGTTCTAATTGTATTCAGTACTGGATTTCAATAATTTTGATGATACATATTCCAGGCTTTTCTTCGCACAATATGATTATGATTATGCAATGTAAAGATACATGTATATTTTGAACTTGTATATGTTTGTCATACATACTTGCCTTGTAAATAAGTTTTCTATTTTTAGTAAGTTTGCATTCCTGATTGGCTTATAACATACAAACGTAGACACTACTCTTAAGAGCATTCGGTTACCTTGCCTTTTGATCACCATCCTCTTCTGATTAAGTGATGTCATTTTTATAATCCACTCTGGCCATGCGAATTGCTCAGATCTATTTCAATTCAATTCAATTCAAAGTTTATTCAACACTCTTCATAAAAACATTTAAAACATACAAATACAGTAAGGAGTTACAAAAAACAAGAAAGTTATTACAAATACAATGGCAATTTATAAGAGCATTTGGGAAAGACAGAAAGGAGGGATTCCTTATATAAAAGCCTACCCCTAAAAACACACATACAGGAAAACGAGAACAAAAGAACAGAACAAAAAACAAAGAACATACTAAACCTTACTATCATGCACGATCAGAGTAAAACAAAAGTGTCAAAGTTTGCCAATGCTATGAGTTTTTTTTATTAATTATGTCATGCAAAAGGATGAACTTAACATGTCTTTATATGTATACATTGGATGATCATGAATTACTGAAATGAAGTTTGCAGTGCCTTATATATTTCAACATTTTAATGTACAAAGGAGACAAAAGAACTTGCAAGTTTTAGTTTGATGATGATGTATTTGTTAGTGAGTATCCTATTAGCTGAAACGGTGTCACATACATGACACTCAACATTCTGTTATATTTGCACGACTGTGCAATATAACCACATTATTTTGCATGATATAACACATGCAAAAGTGAATTGTTTGCATTGTCTTAACTGCACGCACCTGAGGCGAAGGCTACCTGAAAGTAATCAAGAGGGCCTGACTCCAAAGGTTCGCAAATACCCACAATTGTATATAATAAATATTCCATGTAATTCATTGTACAGTGTAATATGTATTCATCTCCAAATTCAGAATTCTTTTCATGCCATTATATAAATTATTACAAATTATTTCATTCACCTGTTACAAATAATTGTATTTCAATAATCAGAATGGAAATTGCATATGTTACATGTTGTTAGGTAGGGCAAGCCATATGTTTGTCCTACCTAGCAACAGCTAATGTATGCAATTTGAATTCTGACTATCGAGATACATTTATTCGTAACAGGTGAATGAAATGATTTGTATCGAGGCGCTTCAGAAAGGCATGTGCATAAATGTGGTGTTAATAACAGAAGAGGGCTAATGAGGAGCATCATCATGTTATAAGCAGTCATGATTCTAAATTGATTAAAAAAGAAAGATTTAAATTTACCTTCTCAATCTCTGATCTCTTTGTCTGATGTGAAATCTAGGAGAGACATAGGAGAGAGAGAGAGAGTAGGATGGAGAGAGGAGTGCTAGGGAGGGAGAAATCAGAGAGATCAAGAGAGGGGCTGCGATAGAGTGAGGGAGGGAGGGGGGGCTTTGGAGAGAAGGGAAAAACGGTCACACACATTTAAACTCTAAAGGGAGGACGCAAGACAAAACGAAAAATATAGAGGAGCAGAAAAGGGAGATGTAAAAAAAAACGAACGAGAATTTAGAAAGATGAGTGAGAGAGAAGATCAATAAAAGGGGCACCAGTAAAGAAGAAAAAAAGGGAAAATTGTATACGTTTTCACATGACATCTATATTCCTTCAAACAGAGGAATATATTCAGGGGCGTTTACAGAAAAAGCTCCCTCCCCTTCCCAAGCCAATTAGCTTCCGTAGTCTTCGTCTATGTGTATGTCTGTCTAGCACCCCATGTCTTTCTCTATCTCTCCCCCACTGTCAGTGACGGTGTGTAGAGACAGGTACAAGATCAAATATATGGAGGTATCGACCGAGATGGAGAGAGAGAGATGGGGGGAGGGGGGGGGGGGGGGAGGGGAGCAAATCGGTGAATTTGTCGACAATTATCAAATTGTCTTGCTATGACGTATCCATATACATCATCGATTTGTAAAGTGATTGGCAATAAACAAATAAATTGCGCGATCGCAAATAAGACTTCAGAGAATCAATCTAATAGTCAACTAGCTTGTCCATCGCTTGTAAAATGTGCGAATATTACAAGGACGTCTTGTAAAATCCAAATAATTATGATCTCTGTGTGGGATACAAAATGTGGTATTGATGTGGCCCTTGAGTTGATTTCTCGAAGTCTTTGCGATCGCATGAAATGTATATGTATTTTAAAATCAAAATGCAACAAGTACGTATTAATGGCTTTGTATTCAGAACTGAGCCTAAAATTAAATGTATCCACGCTTTCTATTAAAAAAAAATTTATTTTCCTACCTCCGACGTCTATTCGCTTTAATTTCCGAGTGCCATCACCCAGCAGAGCGTTACAGTAATACCTCCCGGCATCATCCGGACTATAATTCCTGATGAGGAGGGTGCTGTTCTCCAAGACCTGGAGATACGATCTCTCATCACCCGCTGGAATCATCTAGGGAATTTCATCCTCACTCTCCTCTGCGTAAGACCAAATGATCTCGCGGCTGGGCGTGGTGAGGGCGTGGAGTGGGGAGTGGCGATTGCAGATTAACGTCATGCCAAATGATGTTAGTGGGATTTAACATTATAGATAATATAGTTATCGGTGAGCTCCAACTAATATGTGACGAGGAGATTGGTATCAACATCCTATTCTCGAAAATATACAAAATACAAATTTATAAGATACAAATAATTTTTTGGTGAATGGCCGCGGCTAAGCTCTTTAGGATGGCGACCCTCTTTACTCATCTAATGTAAATAGATAAGTCAGAAATCTCAGGGGATGATGATAAATGAAGTAATGGATCAATCAATAGGTATGAGGCATTTAACAGGCAAACATATTCCGCCATGGCATTAAACAATATTGAAAAGCTTATACTGTAACATGTAAACCTAAATATGTACAACTCCGGCCCATTATGCAAGATCTGGAAGTTCATCTAGTTGGTGGACAAACCGCCTTAGAAATTTTTAATGGTTCTTGGGGAATAGTTTGCGATGATTTCTGGAACCTGAACGACGCAAGAGTGGTATGCAGAATTATAGTTATGGAACCCAAACGTTTAAGAAGGGGAGTATTAAAGGAAAGTCCAAACTTAATAGATAGCTCCCCTAAAAGAAAGTATGAAAATCCGTGAAGCATGCAGAGTGGTGAAAGTTAAAATGAAATCGAGCAAAAAGAAGAAAGTTATGAGTTGTTCGAAGTTGTAATCACTGCATGGGTACCTCAAATTGACCGAAACGCTAATGTCACTGTGACTAGTGCCGGATATTTACCCATTTGTTTCAACTCGCAAAATGACAAAAATGTCTTCTTCTTTTTCTCCAAAGGTATAACTCAGGAAGGTCTTTTTAATTTTTATAGTGGACCTATAATAATATGCTATATTTAGTGTAGTTTCCCGAGGGAGAAGGCCCCATGTCAACTTTACAATCTATTGACCAAATTGTTTGTTTTAATCTATCCCATTCAGTATGACTTTTGACCAATTTAATCTAATCCAA